GCCCGCGCCTGCCGCCGCCGCCGGGCGCCTGCTCGCGGTGCCTTGCGGGGGTCGCCCTGCCTGACAGCCCGGGGAGGACGGCTGGCGGATGCTTCCGCGCTGGATTTCATTTTGTAAGCCTTTGGCCGCGATTAAACGCCCCTTCACCCGAGAGCCTGTGAAGGGGGTGTGGTTAACTGGTCTTGCCTTGTTAATTTATATTTATCGCTGATGTCAGATTTGTAATCCCAGTATTTCTCGTCCCGTTTGTGTTCATGAATAGGGATGGAGTGTTCATTCTGTTCTGTGAGTGGGGTTATTATGCTAACTGTTCTGAATTTAACTTCAGTGTGAATTCTGTCAGTTATTTTCCTCTATTTTCGTGCATTTAGGTTAAATTCTAAATCTGCATGGGAAATGTACAGGAAGTTAAATATGGGTGATTTTTCTTTTGTTTTAATGTTTATTGATGGGTGTTCTCAATTACTAACTTGTAAATGTTACTTAAACCTCATTTTTTGATTTTACAATATTGAGTAGTAGCTGGGCGTGGTGGTACACGCCTGTAATTCCAGCAGTTGGGAGGCTGAGGCAGGAGGATCTTTGATTTGGAGGTCAGCCTGGGTAACAAAGTGAACTCAAGGCCAGCATTAACTGCATAGCGATACCTTGCCTCAAAAAGGCCAAAAAAAAAAAAAAAAAAAAAAAAAAGAATAGTTCAGGGGTCATTTCTTCTATTAAAATGGTTTCTTAAACCGGGCGTGGTTGCACGTGCCTGTAATCCTAGCACTTGGGGGGCTGAGACAGAAGGATCATTTCAACATCCGACTGTTTTTTTTTGTATCGGGAATTGAACTCAGGACTTTGCGCTTGCCAGGCAGGTGCTTATTCCGCTGAGCTATCCAGGCATGGAGGATCATTTCGAGTTTGAGGCCAGCCTGAGCTACAAAGTGAGCTCAAGGCCAGCCTGAACTGCTTAGTGGAGACCCTGTCTCGGAAAGACAAAAAAAAAAATTTCTTAAAAACATTGCAAAGTACCATTAAAATAATTCATTTGGAGTAAAACTGAAATTTCAGTCATAGACATGCAACAATTATTTTTAAAATGTAACCTAACTTTAAGAACATAGTGAAATTTGTAATAGTTACTATGTGTTACTTGGCTAGTATGTCAAAGGGAAGGAGGAATATTTTGTTTTGAGGTAATCTAATGTTTATTTCTATCTTAGCGGTATTTTCTTATTTCCTGTTGTTGGTTTAGTTATTTGGCAGCGTGACTACTGATACTTTTTTCCCCCGTCTTTCTCTGCCTCCCTTTTTCTGGTCTTTTTTTAGCCCCACAGTGCTGTAGTCTACTTGTGAGAGAGGCAGGCAGTCTGAATCTGATAAAGGAGCCAAGAAGGGGAACATAGAGTCCTCCACTCAGAGCCACATTTCTCTTCCTGCCTTTCCTCCTGTGTGTGTGGGGAGGAGCTAAGTAACCTCTGGAATTCCATTTATCCTCCACTTGTTTTTTAAATTGGTTATACAGATCTTTTTTTGTTGTTGCTCTTTTTGAGACAGGGTCTGCGCTAAGCAGTTCAGGCTGGCCTTGAGCTCACTTTGTAGCCCAGGCTGGTCTTGAACTTGCAACGATCCTCCTGCCTCAGCCTCCTGAGTGCTGGGATTATAGGCATGTGCTACCACGCCCAGCACAGTCATACAGATTAATGGGTTTCATTTTGGCAGGTTTGTACATGGCACATAAAAAACTTTGGTCATTTTCACCCTCTCAAAACCGACTCACTCTGCCTTCAGCCCTAGTTTCACACTTGCCCTGGCTTATTTTCCCCATGTTTCCTTTGGGTTTCTGTACGATACACCTGTGTCAGTAGTAGCATGTAGAGCAGAGGGGAGAATGACAAGAAATTATCGCCTTTTTTTTTTTTTTTTTTTTTCTGGTCTTTTTTGAGACAGGGTCTCGCTATGCAGTTCAGGCTGACCTTGAGCTCACTTTGTAGCCCAGGCTGGCCTCAACTCACAATGATCCTCCTGCCTCAGCTTCCTGAGTGCTGGTATTACAGGCGTGTGCCACCACGCCCAGCTCGCCTTCTTCTTTCTCATGCAGTCTCCTTTTTCACTCCAGAGGGAATTTTCCAGCAACATCTTAGAAATCTACTCCTTCTCGGTCACATCTAGAAACACATAGGAATATTCTTTATTTCTGAGTAAGGAACATGAACCAAGCCCCAGGCATTCATTTGTTGAGGCACACTGGGAAGCGTCCATTAAAATATCTCCCAGTTCCTCCTCCTACCTGTTACTTGCTCCTAGGGCCCGTCATGGATTTCTTTCCCAGAGCTCCCCACTCTCAGCTGAACAACTGATGCAACTCCCTTTTAGGGGCTGAGGGGAAGCAGGGAGCTGAGCAGATTGTTCCATACCTAAGCAGGAGTAGATTTTATCTTGTAGGGAGCAAGTGTAGTGATGTAAACAGTGAAAGTGGGAGGAGGAAGAACTTCTGTACTCACACAACATGTGGAAGGGGATGTAAAAGGATGTAAGATGTGCTAAGTAGATGCAGCTACTCCCCACGTGAATGTAGTCGTTATGTACTGTAAACATACACTAGTGCAAATTAAAAAGCAAATCTTGAAACAGCTTGGAGAGAAAAGAAGTGTAAAGTAAACGGGGAGAGTTATGTGTTGCTTGCTGACACTTGTTTTGGGGCAGTTTAGTGAAGTGGATTCCTAGAGACTCCTTTAAGGCGGGTAAGTTTACAAAGAATATTTTGCCAGTGGGTTTTAAGTCATGAGCAAGTGAGAGAAGAGCCTTTAGAAATACAATTATTGCACACATGCATACCCTTTGCGGAGGAGCAAACTCAGTTCCTTGAGTGTGTTAGGCACCGTATCCCAGGCCTAGTAGTAATATTTTGAGGGAGGAGGAGATTGTAATGGAACAACAAAAAAGGTATTATTTTAAAGTGTTAGCTGTGCTGGCATGTGCAGTTGTTTCAAGAAAGGTTCAGGAGGGAGATTAGGTACAGATGTTGGGGAAGTTGTCTTTCATTACAGTACTTGGATTTTTCCTGCTTGTCCTATTAAGGATTGTTAAGAAGTAGTATGTAGTACCCCCAAAATAGCTATACATAATGTATTTTTAGATTCATGTGCCATATGTATCTGTGTATGCTTTAGGTTTACAGAGAAGGACTGATTTTCTGGCTTCATAGTAACTAATGCCATGGTGTTATTTTTAATGTTTTCTTTTCCAGTGTTTTTCTTTGGCAGAGAGGGAAAAAGCCACAGAGCAGGTCAGCTCTGCTCTCTTATAGGCTGGTCTGTTTGGAACCCATCTGCTTGTATCTTTTTTTCCTTTAACAGAAATTCTCTTTTTTTTTTAGTCTTTTTTTTTTTGAGACAGGGTCTCCTTATGCAGTTCAGACTGACCTTGAGCTCACTTTGTAGCCCAGGCTGGTCTCAAACTTGCAACGATCCTCCTGCTTCAGCCTCCCGAGTGCTGGGATTACAGGCATGCACCACTCTCTTTTTGTTTTTCCCCCTAATTTTATTAACAAAACTAAGTATGTCAAGGTCAGTTGTGTGAATGATTCGACTTTTTTTTTTAAAGAGAAACTGAAAATATAGTTAATTGTGAACTTTGACAGCTACATTTAAATCTTATGTTGATACACATTTCCCTGGCATTTAACATTGAGAAATGCCTTTTTTGAAACGTTTTGTTTTTTTGTCCTTTGTTTTTTTTTTTTTTGCCTTTTTGAGACAGGGTCTTGCTATGCAGTTCAGGCTGCCCTTGAGCTCACTTTGAAGCCCAGGCTGGTCTCAAACTTGCAACAATCCTCCTGCCTCAGCCTCCCGAGTGCTAGGATTACAGGCCTGCACCACCATGCCGGCTTTTTTTTTTTTTTTTTTTGTCTTTTTGAGATAGGGTCTCCGCTATGCAGTTCTGGCTTGCCTTGAGCTCACTTTGTAGCCCAGGCTGGTTTCGAACTCACAGGGATCCTCCTGCCTCAGCCTCCTGAGTGCTGGGATTATAAGCGTGGGCCATAACGCCTGGCACTTTTTGATATTCTCATGATGCGATATAGCCTTCTCTTAAACTTATCCTATAGCTTGTCAGTTTGTTATGTTACATGTTTTGTGCTGTCCACGGGGGGGTGCAGAATAAAGTGCTGTGAATATGGGTTCTGTCTTGACTTTTACATTTTAGTTTCTTTGATTGCTGCACTTTTAATCTGTCAAATCAGTTTTCTCCATATTGCCTGCAGAAGTCTTCTAGATTCTCATGAAATCTATACCAATTTGTGAATTGATGAGTTGGCAAAACAAAAATCCCTTTAAAATTTTTTTGAGACACTGATCCTCCTGCTTTAGCCCCCAAGTGCTAAGATTATAGGCGTGTGCCACCACGCCCGGCATACATGTGTTATTAATCTTCCTAAACTGTCAATATATCACTACATTGCAGGAAAAAAAATTTCAAAACTCCCCTTTAAGTGTTTTCACTTTATATTAAGCTCTTTACATTCATTTTTTTTTCCTTTATGGAACTGGGCATTGTACTCAGGACCTGCGCTTCCCAGGCAGGTGCTGTGCTGCTGAGCTATCCCTGGTCCCTGATTTTTTTTTTTTTTTTTTTTTTTTTTGCCTCTCATACTAACTTCATGTTCTTATAAATATGGAAATAAAGTCTCAAATTACAACATGGAATTGCTATGTAAGATCAGACCACTTTTACTACTCTGCTGTCTCACCTTGGGCAACATTTGAGTGTTTGGTACTTTATCAGGAAATAGCAGGAAACTTTTTTTTTTTTTTTTTTGGTCTTTTTGAGACAGGGTCTCACTGTGCAGTTCAGGCTGGCCTTGAGTTCACATTGTAGCCCAGGCTGGTCTCAAATGATCCTCCTGCCTCAGCCTCCCAAGTGCTGGTATTAGGCGTGCATTGCCACGCCCAGCTTGTTCCTTTTTAAGTCTTACATTTCATTGCATATACACACATGGTCCCAGTTTGCTTATTCATATGCCAGTGGACATTTGGGTTGCTTCTGCCTTGCAGCTATTATGAATAATGCTGGTGTGAACTTGAGTGTACAGCTATGCATTTGAGACTTTCCTTTCAGTTCTTGGGTA